AATAAAAAAGTAATAGGTATTTAATTCAATATTGATCTAAAGTGAATTATTTTATATATATGCAATAGTGTCCTCGTACCCTACTTTTTACAAATTTGCCGTATCTGTACTCGTACCCGTACCTAGGCAACATAGGTCTATCCTCAATTAACCTAAAAAGAAGAAGACCCATCCTTCCCTCTCAAGTAGGTTGTGAGCATTCATGAAATCTCAACTGTACCTTTCAGTTTCTGTTTCCACATCGAAGGAATTCCAGAAAACAAACAAAATATGCAGGCATCCAGACTCGATCCTCTCCCTCATCACAGCCCCACACACACCAACCTAACTCTTTCAATAAAATTAGACTATATTTACATGCTAAAAAGGATAGTAAATCTTAAATTGAAAGTTAAATTTATATATATTAATGAAAGAATATCAAACTATTTGCTAAGTTTTGAAATTTTAGACTTTTTTGTGATTTTAAATTTTTGAAGGTGTGTTTTGCAAATTTTAAAACTCTTAAGTGTTTTTTAAAAAATTTAAAATATTTTAAGTTGGGTGTTTATAATTTTTATTTTCATGTGTTGATGATAAGTTTTTGAATGTCAGGATATTCTTACAACATTAAAATTTTGAGGGTGGTTTTTATAATTATTAAAAATTTTGGATTATTTTTTGTAAAATTCAAATTTTCGATGATCTGCTAATAATTTCAAGATTTGAAATGTATTGGTTATAGATTTTAAAATTTTAGGGTATTTTTTGTGATTTTTAAATTTTGAATTAATCTTTTGCACTTTTAATTTATAACTTTGAGGTTTTTTGCAAATTTTAAATTTTTAGTTGTCTGATGGTAATCCCTTAAATTTATCTTTGTTGTTTGTAAGCTTTAAAATTTTTAGAATTTCAAGGTGATTTTCTATTATTTAAAATTTTGAGGGTGTTTTTATACTTTGTGAAATATTGATGGTGTTAATCGCGTATTTTAAATTATTCAAAGGTTGTTGTTAATTTTTAGATTTCATGTTTTTTAGTTTAAGTTTTAAAACATCAGGATGTTTTGTGTAATTTTAAACTTTTGAGGTGTTTTATGTAATTTTTAAAAAATTTAGGTTATTTTGTAATACATCATATATTATAGCATGTTAGTTCTTTACCTTAATAAATTAATACAGTAAAGTTGTTTCATTATTTTATTAATCTTATTTTTTTTTTAAATTGTCGAGCTGAGGATATGATATAATTATAATTAAGATATATTAAGATTTAAATAAAATATTCAAAATAGTGAAGAGTAATATTAATTGACCATGCAAAGCTTTTCCTAAACTCCAACTTTTAAAGGGGGTATGATTGTAGCATGTTAGTTCTTTACCTTAACAAATTAATACCACCGAGTGGTTTCATGTATTCTATTAACCTTATATTTTCTAGGACAAAATGATCATTTCTCCCTTAAAATATTGGTGAAATCTCAAGTTACCCCCTAAAGTATCAATTTACTTATTTTGTCCCTCAAACTATGTTTATTATTCAATGTGGTTATTTTGTGATTTTACGACCAAATATTTAACAATTTAATTACATAACTGTATTTTTTTTGCATTTCTTCATGTATTTGATCAGTTTATCTCCTTTTTTCATACAAAACATAATAATTTTAACTACTTTCCAAACAAAGCATAATAATTTTAACTACTTTCTTCCAAATTTTTTTACCCTTTAACCCTTTTTATGAATTAAAAAAATAATCTTTTAGATTGCAAAAAATACAAGAAATACAAAAAAACACAGTTAAATTAGTAATATGTTAAATATTTGATCGTAGACACACAAAATAGCCGCATTGAAACCATAAACATAGTTTGAGGGGCAAAACAGGTAAATTGATATTTTAGGGAGCAACATGAGAGCTTTCCAATACTTTAGGGTGAAATGATGATTTATCTTTTCCTTTTAATTGTTGAGCTGTAGGTAGTACACATGGGGTTAGGATGTGCTATAATTATGATTAGGATAGATTAAGATTTAAATGAAATATTCAAAATAGTTGATGGTAATATTAACCATAGAAAGTTTTTTCCGAACTCGTACTTTTAAAGGAACTATATATATGATATGATATGGTTTGTAGGTAAAGCTCAATTAAGTTTTAAATGTAGTTAGATACTTTTTCTTTATCCTAAAAGTTAAAATGCAATTGTATCACAGAATTAAGTATCCAAATGACTAGCAAGTAGTATGGTTTTGACATATATAAGTAAGATCTTATAGAATCACATCTGCTTTCATATCCCTATCGCGATTTGATAATTATATTGTGAGCAATAAACAGATACTTACGAACTGTTTGCACCCATAAATTTCACACATTGCTTTCAATTATATTTGAATTTTGAGGGTGGCCCAAGTGGGCAGTGAGCATTCAATGCCACCTCAACTGTACATTTCCTTTCCACTTTCCACATTAAGGAATGCCAGATCACACAAAGAGCATCCATACTCAAATCCAGGTATATCAGTATATGTTTTTTCTTCCATCAGATCCGCATCTCTGTCTGATTTTGAATGAAAGTATAATGGGCAAAATATCAAATTGATATATTTTGTTTACCCTTAGTGACAGTTTGGCATATAATTTTTTACAGAATTAAGTATCCAAATGACTAGCAAGTAGTATGGTTTTGACATATATAAGTAAGATCTTATAGAATCACATCTGCTTTCATATCCCTATCGCGATTTGATAATTATTTTGTGAACAATAAACAGATACTTACGAACTGTTTGCACCCATAAATTTCACACATTGCTTTCAATTATATTTGAATTTTGAGGGTGGCCCAAGTGGGCAGTGAGCATTCAATGCCACCTCAACTGTACATTTCCTTTCCACTTTCCACATTAAGGAATGCCAGATCACACAAAGAGCATCCATACTCAAATCCAGGTATATCAGTATATGTTTTTTCTTCCATCAGATCCGCACCTCTGTCTGATTTTGAATGAAAGTATAATGGGCAAAATATCAAATTGATATATTTTGTTTACCCTTAGTGACAGTAAGGCATATAATTTTTTTCCAGTGACATATTGGTATATTTTTTTTCCTCCGGCGATAAATAGGCCTTAAGTTTGGCCGGATCTAATTTTACGGTAATTTTCTCATGTGACGGCTCACATGATTGAAACGTGGCCCCAATGTGGCTTCTAGAGTGGCGAAAGTTGGGATGTTTTATATTTTTTTTACCGATATTTGGGGGCAAAAATGTTTAACCCCCCGTTACAAAAATGTTTAACCTCTGCAATGGATTCATTCGAGAACTATGATTTGATCCGCGATCTCGCCGACGACAACGGAGGGAGGGTGACCCGCCTGATGCGGTACAAGCCTACCGGTGAGCTCGTCGCCGTGAAGTTCATCCCCCATGGAGACCGCGTCGACCAACTCGTCCCCCGCGAGATCGTCAACCACCGGTCCCTCCGCCACCCCAACGTCATCCTCTTCCGCTGCACCTTCTTGACCCCGACCCACCTCACCATCACCATGGACTTCACCTTGGGTGGCGAGCTCCTCAACCTCCTCTCCTGCCCGAACCCGCCGCCCGCTTCCTCTTCCACCAGCTCTCCGGCGTCTTCTCCAAGTAAGGATTAGGGCTTCCTCTTTCTTGATTTTCCCCCAATCTAGGGTTTCATCTGCTGAGAGATCTAACCATTTCTCTTCAAACAGGAGGTTTCCAGTTGTGGAGAAGTGATGTCGCTCGTCTTGGAAGAGGGAGAGCGAGAGCTTTGGTTCGCTTGTTTAAGCGTCAAAATATCTTAAATTTCCAAGCTTTAATGCCATGTTGGGGCCACGTGAGCCGTCACGTGAGAAAAATCGCAGTAAAATTGGATCCGACCAAACTTAAGGTCTATTTGTCACCGGAGGAAAAAAATATACTAATATGTCGCCGGAAAAAAATTATATGTCAAACTGTTACTAAGGGTAAACAAAATATACCAATTTGGTATTTTTACTAAAGTATAATGTTTTCTCTCGCCAAATCATATTTGTATTTGTATCTTACAGAATCATATATGTATTTGTATCCATATCAGATGTTGGATAGCAGTTTTCCTAATCTATTTTGGTAACATGAGGTTGTTAGGATTCCTAATTTATTTTGGTAACATGAGGTTATTAGGATTCCTAATTTGTTTTGTTTTTGGTTTTAGGATTCCTAGTCTGTTTTGGTTTTAGTTTTTCTATATATATGGAGATTAGAATCAATCATCAAAAGATAGGAGAGTTGTAATCAGATATTAGAGAGACTTTTGAGCATTGTGAGAGGGAGATATTGTGAGCAAATTGAGAGCTTTAATTGGTTGAGGGTTAGTTTGTGAGTTTTGTGAGATTGTAACCCTTTGTATTCTCCTTGATTTAGTGGAATCTCCCCATCCTCTCCCCGTGGACGTAGGCAATTTGTCGAACCACGTAAAATTGGTTGTCTCACTATTTGTGTGATTTGTAATAATTTATTTAGGTTCCCTCGACAAGTCAGTCCTAGAACTGATGAGATGAAGAGTTGATATCCCACTTTATTGAGATATTTTGCTTAAGGTTCTTGTTTTCTTTGTGAAACGAGAATTCCTATTGCAACCTGACTCTCTTGTTGTGCTGCCGAAGTGCTGCCGAAATTTCCGTTGCGTGCAAAAATCAGATACTAGTAAACATATATAAATATTGGATTAACTGCCGATAGACCTCTACACTATATATCGTACAATGTCGTGTGACCCTTGTAGTTCTATTGTTACGTATAGATCCCTTGCGTGGAACTTTTTTTGGCTCTTGCCTTAGGTGGTCTATTTGTCAAAAAATGATTTTCTCTTTTGTTGAGGGTATAAGAGTAAAAAAATTCTCACTATGCGCAACAATATAATAGAGGAGCCTGTCCACAATTGCGTGAAAGTACAGGGTCTATCCTCAATTAACCTGAAAAGAAGAAGACCCGTCCTTCCCTCTCAAGTAGGTTGCGAGCATTCATGAAATCTCAACTGTACCTTTCATTTCCAGTTTCCACGTCGAAGGAATGCCATAAAACAAACCAAAAAAATGCAGGCATCCAGACTCCTCTCCCTCATCACAGCCCCACACACACACACCAACCAACCTAACTCTCTCCCCCTTATTTCTTTCTTTAATACCCCTCACCCACTCTATCATTTGTTTATCAACCCGAAGATGTCCGCTTACGACCGTGTTGCCGAGATTAAAGCCTTCGACGAGGCCAAAGCGGGCGTCAAAGGACTCATCGATGCAGGCATCACGACCGTTCCTCGCTTCTTCCACGACTACTCTTTTACCAACAACAATGCAAACCCAAACATCGCAATCCCCGTAATCAACCTGCAACCCGAACAGAGAAACCGAGCCGTCGATGAGATCAGGCGAGCATCAGAGACGCTCGGGTTCTTTCAAGTTGTGAACCACGGCGTACCCCAGGCGGCGATGGGGGCGATGAGGGAGGGAGCGAGGAGGTTTAATGAGGAGGACGGCGAGGTGAAGAGGATGTACTACGCGAGGGATCCGAGCAAGAAGGTGCTTTTCAACAGTAATTTTGATCTTTACCAGGCTCCTGCGGCAAACTGGAGGGATACGCTGTTTTGTGTTGTGGCGCCGGAGGGGCCTCGACCAGATGAACTGCCAGCTGCTTGCAGGTAGATTTTTTTTTTTTCCCCTTTATGAACTGTCGGGGAAGTGGTTCTTGCTATATATTGTACGTACCAGAGCATACCCTGATTGTTTGAAGTAAGATCCCCAGATCTATTAATAAGTTGTCATAAAGAAGGCATTCAAATCTATTAAGTTATAGTAAATAAGACCCTCTTTTCAAACCAGTATGGAGATTTAAGGGTCTAATTTTGAAGAGGGATACTGGTACCAGCTGGCGCTCATATATATATCTTTTTCCAATTTAGAAATATGAAGATTTGAGGGTCTAATATAGAATTAACAAAGTTTTGGGGATCTAATATGACAAAGGCATTAAAGTTTAGGTACTGTTTGACAAAAGGTTAAGTGAGGGGGGAAGGGGACTTAACCCCTTCTTAACCCGCCAAACACAAAAAATCTATACAATGGTTAAAGTAAGTTAACCCTCTATAATTTGCCAAACATAAAAAATATAGAAGAGTTAAGCTAACCCATCTAAAAGGATTAAAATTAGTTAACCCCTCAAAATGAAGGGTTTACTAATACTCCTATTTAGAAGGATTAAGAGTTAACTCTTCTAATTATAAAGAAAATAGTCAAAATCATTGTTATTCCCAAACACTAAAACTGATCACAAGGGCTAAAATAAAACTTATTTAACGGGTTAATAATTTAGTCCTTTAGATTATCGAATGGACTAAGTACATTAACTAAAATAAAACTTATTTAACGGGTTAATAATTTAGTCCTTTAGATTATCGAATGGACTAAGTACATTAATCCTTCTATTTAACCCCTCTTCCTTAACCCTTTGTCAAACGAGGCCTTAATGAATTATTAGGAGTTAAGTCCAGGACGGAAGGAGGAAACACAGGTATTTGTACGTGTGATCATGAAATTGAAGCAATCACATTGGAATAACTACGTAAAAGAGTCCCCCCCCCCCAACCCCCACCCTTTTTTGGCTAGAATGCTTTCTTGTAATCACTGTGAAGTTCCCCATTTGGAGTGAACATCATCCATTATCATTATCTGTTATATGAACATCTTCACTTATTACATCCTCTTACATATTCTCGCTTCAAAACATGCAGGGAAATAATTGAGGAATACACACACCATATTCAAAATCTAGGGAACATTTTGTTCGAGTTACTCTCTGAGGCATTGGGTCTAAGCCGAGACCATCTGAAAGGAATGGAATGTGCCAAAGGTCTTGCCCACGCAATCAATTATTACCCACCATGCCCAGAACCACATCTAACTCTCGGCGCCAGCAAGCATTCTGATCCTGGCTTTTTAACTGTTCTTCTACAGGACGACATTGGTGGATTACAAGTTTTACATGAAGACCAATGGGTTGATGTATCTCCCATGCCTGGAGCTCTGGTTATTAACATTGGCGATCTATTACAGGTATTTATCATGTTGTTTTTGGGGAAAAATTAGGGTTGGTTCTCTCACTGAGAGATACCCCTTTTATATTACTGCACTCTTACAAATAAGCCCTTACAATATTAACTAATTAACTTAATATATCTAAATAACTCAACACTCCCTCTCAAGATGGGCGATAGATATCAATCATCCCCATCTTGTTACAAAAGGTATCATACTCTCTAGAACCTAATCCTTTTGTTAAACAATCAGCTAACTGTTCTTCTGATTTCACATAGCTCAAAGTTAGAACTCCTCTATTTAGTTGCTCCTTGATAAAGAACCGATCAATCTCCACATGTTTGGTGCGATCATGCTAAACTGGATTGTTTGCAATATTAATCGTCGATTTGTTTTCACACCAAAGTTGTAAGGAGTCTCTTCTAAACAAGCGTAGCTCAGATAATATGTTTTTGACTCACATCAGTTTGCACAGACTAACTGCCATAGCCCTATACTCGGCCTCAGCTGTAGACCTAGCCACCACATCTTGCTTCTTGCTACGCCAAGATACGAGATTGCCTCCAACAAATACACAGTAGCCGGTAGTGGACCTACGATCATCCATACAACCCGTCCAATCAGCATCATAATAGCCTTCAATTCTCAAATGTCCAGAACTCCTGAACCATAACCCCTTTCCCGGGCTTCCGTTAATATACCTAAGAATTCTACGAACTGCCTCCATATGCTGCTCTCTGGTATCATGCATATATCTACTCACCACACTCACTGCATGAATAATATCAGGTCTCGTATGACATAGATATATAAGTCGTCCAACTAATCTTTGATATTACTCTTTACTCACCGGGTCACCACCCTCGGCACACATTTTATGATTCTGCTCGATAGGAGTAGATGCAACTCTGCACCCTAACATCCCTGTCTCTGAGAGAAGATCCAGAGCATACTTTCACTGAGAAAGCACTATACCCTTTCGCGACCTTGCAATTTCAATTCCGAGAAAGTACTTCAACTGCCCCAGATCTTTAACTTCAAATTCCTCTCCCAATTTATTCTTTAGCCGTAAGATTTCCTCAGCATCATCTCCAGTGATTACAATATCATCAACATAGACCGCCAGGATAGTGATACGAGTTTTGGAGTGCTTCTAAAACACAGTATGATCCCCACTGCACTGCTTGTACCCCATACCACAGACTGCCAACCGGAATCTATCAAACCATGCCCTCGGAGACTGTTTTAACCCGTACAAAGACTTCTTCAACTTGCACACCTTCCCAGCTACTTGAGAAGTGACGAAGCCTGGTGGAATCTCCATATACACCTCCTCCTGTAGATCTCCATGCAAAAAGGCATTCTTGACATCTAGCTGATGTAGTGGCTAATTGAAGTTGGCAGCACATGACACCAACACTCTAACAGTGCTCATCTTTGCTACTGGAGCAAATGTCTCATCATAGTCGATGCCATACATTTGACTATAGCCTTTAGCAACCAATCTGGCCTTGTATCTGTCGATCTTTCCCTCTGGAGTTTGCTTAACCGTATACACCCACTTACACCCAACAGCGTGCTTCCCAGCTGGCAAAGGTACCAGCTCCCATGTGTCATTCTTCTTCAAGGCCTGAAGTTCCTCTTGCATGGCACTCAACCACCGAGGATCTTGCTTAGCTACCTGTCAGTTGTTAGGTATAGGCACTGAATGCAATGATGCAATGAATGACTTATATGCAGGTGGAATGGATACATATGAAATGTAATTCGTAATGTCAGTATCCCAACTACCAAACTTAGTTGGAGGTTTTCCAGCATTGACTCTAGAGGTTCTGTGGGGTAAGACATGAGTATTAGAAGTATCAGGGAAGAAATCATTACCTATCGACTCAGGTGGAGAAGATGAGGAAGAAGATGAGGAAGGCAACGGAGAGGAGGGACTTGGGACATCAACATTTGTGGGTACTGGCACAGGCACAGGAGGCGGCTCATGTTGTTGTTTCTGTCTCCTCGTGTATACTCTCAGCTCCCCCTGACCTTGACTGCCAATTCCTGAATCATAACCACTACTCGGCGATGTATCATCACTACTCGGTGACTTAAGAGAACATGGAATCATCCCAACCACGATGTCATTCTCATTTCGACATGGAATCATCCCAACCACGATGTCATTCTCATTTTCATTCTCCCCCTCTCTACTAGCATCAGTAGAGCCATCTCCAAACAAGGAACTCAACTCCGTCTTCTCCCCATAAAAAGGTTCAAACTCCCAAAAAGTCACATCCATACTGACAAACAATCTTCTTTCAGTGGGACACCAACACTTGTATCCTTTTTGACTTGATGAGTAGCCAACGAATATACATTTAACTACTTGCGGATCCAGTTTACTCACCATCAATCTGTGATCTCTCACGTAACATGTGCATCCAAACACTCTTGGTGGAACAACAAAAACATTTGAGCCCAAGAACATCTCACATGGTGTCTTCATCCCTAACACTCTTGATGGCATCCTGTTGATTAAATAAGCTGTTGTCATAACAGCCTCACTCCATAAAAACTTAGGCACATTCATTGTCAACATCAATGAGCGTGCTACTTCTAGCAGATGCCTGTTCTTGTGTTCGGCCATCCCATTTTGAGCAGGGGTGTCTGGACATGTGGTTTGATGAAGAATTCCCTGACTAGAGATGAAAGCCGCAAACTCTTTGTTGACATACTCAGTCCCATTATCTGTTCGAAGAATCTTCACCTGCACTCCAAACTGAGTCTTCACATGAGCCGAGAAGTCTTGAAAACATCTGTAAACCTCAGATTTCTGTTTCATCATGTATATCCAGACCATACGTGAATAACAATCAATGAAAGTAACAAACCATCTAAAACCACTAATAGAGGTAGTAGGACATGGTCCCCAAACATCAGAGTGGACAAGTGCAAATGGTTCAAAACTTCGAAGACCAATCATTTTATAAGTAGAGCGAGTATGTTTTCCAAGTTCACAAGCATTACAAAATAGCTCTTTTTCTATCCACTTTCTTCATTAACTCAGGTCCTAACCTATTCAAACTACCAAAAGATAAATGCCCTAATCGGCAATGTTGAAGCATTCCTTCTGCCTCTGGCTCTCCGCTAACAGCAACAGCAATCATTGCAGTCTCCTTATCCAAGTACCAAAGGCCATCACGCCTGATGCCAGTCTCAATCCTCCTCCCTGTTTCCTTCTCCTGGAAGACACACATATCCTGATCAAATAACACAGTGCAATTTAATTGATCAATGAGAGAACTAACAGAGAGTAAGTTAACTGGAAACGAAGGAACATACAATACAGATGACAAGGTAACAGATAAAGTGCAATGGACCGAGCCAGTACCCCTGATGGGTTGGGATGTCCCATTAGTAGTCTGAACCGTCCCAGGATGCATATGCTTACTTGGATAATATAATGCAAACTCACTAGATGCTCCTGTGATATGTCTAGATGCACCTGAGTCTATGATCCAATCAACATGAGTTTTAGTGGATGCAAGTGCCTGAACCTGTATACCTTCGTTCGCATGAGCATAACCAACAAAGTTACCAAAGCAGGTAGTGTTATCCAGATCCTGAGTGACTTGTCCCTTGCCCTTCGAACCCTCAGCATGAATCCTGAACTGACGTAGTTCCTCCAGCTCTGTTATTTCAGCTCTAGTCATCTCAGCAGCAGTCTGAGACTCCTCCATCACAGCTAGGTGAGCAACTCCTCGACCTCCACGTCCCCTGTCTCCTCGACCTGTACGGCCACCTCTTTGTCCTCTGCCCCCTCGGCTACCACCAGTGTTGCGGGGCTGAGGGTAATTATAGCTGAGATGTCCCTTTTTTCATAATTGTAGCATTCTCTATCATCTCTGGTGTGAGCATCTGGAACCACAAATGTTGAGCGAACAGTCGGTGAGGTCTCGCCTGTCATTACCTTCTGTCTGATCTCCTCTTGTTCCATAGATGCAACAGCCTCATCCAAGGAGGGGAGAGATGACAGGTGGTACATTGCTGCCCTCCTTCCCTCGAACTTTGGATTCAGGCCCTTGAGAAAACGAGCCACACGCCTGCGCTCAAGATACTGCCTCCCAATAAGAACATCTGCAGGACTCTGTACTGATAACGGGTCATAGTGGTCCAAATCCGTCCATAAGTGACGTAACTCTGCTGCATACTGGTGGACTGTCTTCTCCCCTTGTGTGGTAGCATCAATCTTCTCCTCGACTTCCATCATCATCATCACACTCCCAGCTCCAGAGTACATCCCCTCCAATGTCTTCCAGACATCAGGTGCACTTGAGATAGACTCCACCATCCCAGCTATGGTTGGAGACACAGAAGTCAACAGCCAAGAAACCACCAGAGAATTAGTGTTACTCCATGTGCTCCACTCAGCACTCGCCTTATTCTCCGGCTCAGTGCACTCCCCCTTCATATACTTGTCAAGTCCTTTGATTCGAAGGTTCAACAATGCCCTCCGACACCAACTCAGATAGTTTCTTGTCCCCCTCAAGCTTGATGTCATTAGGCAGCAACTTTATCCTCTGCATTACCTGCGCTGACTCCGGTACGCCCACGACTGACCTACTAGAATTCTCCTCTAATTTGGTCTGAAATACCTTGGCCACCTCCTCTAGGATTTCCTTCAGTTCCTGATGTTCCCATCTTCACAGTTGACTGCTCTTATCTCAACCCCAACACAGAAACAAACAAAAAATAATGGTCACCTCAAAAACAAGACCTCATCGGTAGTAGCAACACACTCTGCTCTGAAATAATGGTCGAAACAGGTTTTTTTTTTTTTAACAAAGTCTCTTTCACTAATAAAATATCAACAAAAAAGGAACAGGTAGCTAATATTAAAAGACCTGCAACCACTTTCTCTTTCTCTAATTTAGTCAGCTCCGTGGATGACCTTTGTTCCCAATCCCTTGAGCCCTTCAGGAGGTACCTCGGCAACTGTGACAGGGTCCTCTTTTACATCAATCTTGATCCCACGGCAACTGTGAGGATTGCATCATCACCTTTGTTCCCAATCCTTGGCATCCTCTTCTTCGTTTCTCTTGCGGGCAATCCTCACACGCACTCTCCTTGGAACACTACGGATCCTGCGGCTTCTCGCCTGAGGCCCTCAATCCCCGTTGTAGTCCCTCGATCGCCGTCACGGTTCCTCTGGCAATGG